TGCAGCCTTGTCTGACCCCTTTACCAATTGGGAACCATTCTGTTTCTCGTTTTTTGTTCTGACAGTAGCCTCTTGTCCTGAGTACAGATTCCTCATCAGGACTATTGGATGTGTTGGAACTCCCATATCCTTAAGGACATTCCATAGACTTTCGTGATCTATGGCTTTGCTTTAGTTTATAAAGCACATGCTGATTTTCTTTTGGAACTCCCAGTGTGCTCCATTAGTCATCATATATTTGCAATGTGATCTCTGGTGCCTCTTCCTTTCCCAGCAGTTAAGTGGTGTCAAATGGGATTATTTCTGCAGTGCAGATGCAGCCACAGCCCTGAGCAATAATAGTACTTTAGCTATTTCCATTCACATATGGACCTCACTCCCTTCCAACCTGATTTTCAGTCTTTTGGCCTATCTGCAAAACAGTGACTGGGGCAGCATCTACACCAGAAATAATGCAATTTGTCACCTTTTAACTGCCATGGGAACTGTGATAAATTGTTTGGCACCACTTTAACTGCCGTGGCTCAATCCTACAGAATCCTGGGATCTGTAGTTTTGTGAAGTGCCAGCACTCTTTGGCAGAGAAGACAAAATACATGCCTCACCACAGGTGGGCACCCAATGTCTCATGGTCCAACAATGGTCTGTAGATCATGATTTTTGAGTAGTACTCCTTTGCTGCTCCTTTGAAGCTGTATACTTTATGATACAAAATAAAAAAATATTAAGAGTGTAAGTTATGTATGCATGGTTATATATAGTGTGTGCAAGGCTATTATAATAACATATAAAATCTTTTGCTTTCCCCTTCTTACCAGACAAGAGATCTTTTAATATGGGGTTATGCCACTTTTCCACCTAGAAAAAGTACAGGTCAGGACCCTATTCACATTATTTTTGATATTCAAAGGGCCGTCAAAATGCACCTTTTGCCACCAATGCATCCATCAAGTGCTATGGGGTTTTATGACCTTTACAGTATAACCCTCAGGCTTGCCATTGTTTGAGAAGTTGTAAACTGTTTTGATAGACTTGGATAGTTTGTGCAAATGTTCACATAAATACTTTCAGTTTCTTTAACATGTGTGTGTTTCTGCCTTCAAATCACCTGTTTACTTCTGGTGACCACATTAATTTTAAAAGGTTTTCTTAGGCAAATAATATTCAGAGGTGGTTTTGCCAGTTTCTCCTGCTGAAATAGAGCCTACAGCACCTGGTATTCCTTGATGGTCCCCCATCCAAGCACTAACCAAGGCTGATGCTGCTTAGCTTCTGTTGTAGAAATTTAAACAACTTAAAAGCAATGGATTGGATGAGTTTATTTCTTTTAATTGCTTTTAAATTGCAATGGTAATTCTGCTGAAACCACTTTAGGATTGCCACAAATTGGAAACAACTTGAAGGCACACAAATGTCTTGTGACATCCTATTTATTTATATAGGCCCCACCTTTCTCCTAAAGGTTGGTCCTGAAGGTCACTTACAAACAAATTATGTTATGTTTTGTATTTTTATATTACCTGTTATCCCGCTTCGATCCGCAGGGAGAGGCGGGAAATACAAATAAAAATTATTATTATTATTATTATAGAAAGGATGCAATGCCAAATGTTAGAAAGTTATATGAAAACTACTATTATTGGAATATGGAATTGAAATGAATGCAAAAATGCAGTATCCACCATGAAAATAATTTTAAAATGTGGATTGTTTAAATATGCATGTTTAAAATATCCTGTTTGTTAAACTGATTTGTGTTTTTCACTGATGTTGTGCATTTGTTGCTCTGTTGTTGTTCTCCACCTCTATCCATGGGGAGAGGTTAATAAGCAATGTTGTTGTTGTTGTGTGCCTTCAAATCCTTTCTAAATTATAATGCCATAAGGCAACATCATGGGGTTTTCTTGGCGGGTTTCTTCAGCGGGGTGGTTGCCATTGCCTTCACTGAAGCTGAGAGAATGTGACTTGCCCCAAGTCAGCAAGTGGATTTCCATGCCTGTGCTGGGATTCAAACCCTGGCCTCCAGAGTCCTAGTCCAACACTCAAACCACTACACTACGCTGGCTCATATCATCTTCATCATCTTCATTAAAAGCTTCCTTCCTCAGCAGGCAAGAAATTGCCAAAAAGGCCTCAATCAAAAGTGTTTGCAACTTTTGCAAAGCATAAAAAGAAAAGAGGAGGGAAATGGAATCTAGCAGCACCTTTAAGACTAAATAACTTATATTTTAGCATAAGCTTTTGTGGATGTCAACCCACTTCCTCGGATTCAAAGACAGAGTGATATTAAAGCCACAAACATATTAAGCCCATTTATACAGATATGGGTGGCAAATGTAACAGGATCGAGAATGATGCAAATTGTGATTCTTGCCATTAGTAGAGAACAAAGACTATGGTTTCATGCCATACTACATATTAATACAGGCGTCTTCACAACTACACATATATTAAAAAGAAATTGTCTCAGTGAAGGTTTTGACCCCAAGGGGACTGATAGATGTATTGCTTTCAGAGTTGAGTTGTTGTTGTTTGTCTTCAAATCGTTTCCAATTTATGACAACCTTAAGGCAACCTTATCATTCTTGGCATGTTTTCTTCAGAGGTTTGCCACTGCCATCCTCTGAGGCTGAGAGGGTGTGACTTGCCCAGGATCACCCAGTGGGTTTCCATGGCCCAGCCAGGATTCGAACCCTAGTCTCTAGAGTCACAATCCAAAGCTCAAACCACTATGCCACCAGTTAAAGCCCCTGGTAGTTTTAACAAAATGAGAGAGCAAATTCTGCTTTCTTAACTGGCCCTGGTATTTTACTCTCAGAATCCCAAGGCAAGTTATTTTGGGTTGCTTAAGTGAAAATTGGAAAGTGTTCCTTTTTACCTTTAACTGTTGTGTAGAAATGGGAATTTCAACAGGTGTAGATTGTTACCTGGCTGCCTGACAAGCAACACCTGCTGAAACTCCTTATCCTCCCAAGCAAATGTTAAAGGTACAAAGAGTTCCCTCCAGTTTTCATTGTTGACAAACCTAAACATGCCTCCTTCCCCCACCTTTATCATTTACCTTTGTATTCATTGGAGTCGGGCTGAGACGGAAATTTTAGGTAAGGCTGCATTCCCCCTCAAGAATCAGAGAAAAAGAGTGGGAAAGGGGCAAAAGACCCACTTGCCATCCCTTCCCTGTGGAGTCATTCTCATGGGGCTCACCAAACTTTGGCTGCATCTGCACTGCTGAATTAATGTAGTTTGACACCGTTTGTGTAGCAGAAATTAATGGGACCAGAGACCACGGAGTCAGGAAAGTGAATTACAAGAAGTAACTCACTTTCCTGACTCCGTGGTCTCCAGTCCCATTAATTTCTGCTACACTTGAACTGCCCTGGCTCCATGCTATGGGATTGTCCGGTTTGGACTTTTGTGAGACATTGAGCCTTCTCTGTCAGAAAGCTCTGGGCCACAACAAGCTACCATTCCCAGAAATCCACAGCACTGAGCCAAGGCAGTTAAAGCGGTATCAAACTGGATTATTTCTGCAATGTGGATGCAGCCCTGTGCAGTTTATACTGCGTAAAATGTGGAAGGGAAGCTATGAATGAACTAGATAAGGTCCAGAATGTAACAATATATCACTGAACACTAAAGTCAGGATGCTCCATGCCATCCCGATTGCCATTTCTGTGAGTGGTTGTGAAAGCTGGGGAGTGATAAAAGCTGATAGGAAGAAAACCAACTGTTGAAATGTGGTGCTGAAGAAGAGTTTTGTGGATACTGTGGGCTGCTAAAAAGACAAATAAATGGACCCAAGGGCAAATCAAGCTTGAACTGTCCCTAGAAACTAATATGACTATGCTGAGACTGTTGTAATTAGGACATATCATAAGAAAGCATGATGCACTAGAACAGGGGTAGGCAGCCTTTTTGATCCGGGGGCCGGGTTGCTGTCCCTCAGACAATTGGGGGGGGGGGGGGTGAAGCACCAAAAATAAATAAAATAAATATAAATAAAAATAAAATTTAAAAAAATTAAAAAAATTAAAAAATATGCATGCACATTCTCTCAGCCCCAGAAAAGCCATGGCAAAACCCCTGTGGAGATTTTGCCAAGAAAAACCCCAAGAACAAGTAATAACAACAATAATCAATATCATCATGGCAGGCGGCAGGGGCGGCAGGACAGGCCCGGGGCCGGTTCAAAGGCCTTGGGGGGCTGCATCTGGTCCCCGGGCCTTAGGTTGCCTTCCCCTGCACTAGAAAATACAATAATGCTGGGTAAGGGAGAAGGCAGTAAGGAGAGGAAGATTGCATTCCAGACTCAAGGATGCCACAATTTCTCTGATTCTGCAAGACCTGAGCAGGGCTGCTGATGACAGGGCGACCTGGAGGTCTTTCAGTCGTTGTTGAGACATCTCCAAGATCCCTTATCCTCCACCGCTCTGCTCAGTCCCCGTGGCTTCTCTGATCGAGTCCATCCATCTGGCATGTGGCCTTCCTCTCTTTCGACTTCCCTCCACCTTTCCTAGCATCATTGTCTTTTCCAATGAGTCATGCCTTCTCATGATGTGGCCCAAGTATGTCAGCTTCAATCTGATAATCTTGGCTTCCAGGCTTGATATGTTCAAGGACCCATTTATTTGTCTTTTCAGCCATCCAGGATATCCTCAGCTCTCATGCCACATCTCAAATGATTTTCTTTCTGTCAGCTTTCGTCACTCTCCAGCTCTTACATCTGTACACGGTGATGGGAAATACCATGGCTTGGACTATCCTCACCTTAATGTTCAGACTTGCTTCTTTATTCTTTACGTTCTTTCATGGCTGCCTTTCCCAATCCTAGCCTTCTTCTAATGTCCACTCTGGCCCCATTCACACTTGCGTTTTTGTGC